GATCAGAGTGCAGGTGGATTCGATCTGGATCCAACCCGAATCCATGTCCATATCCAACCTGATCTTTTTTAATAATAAATTTTTATTTTATGTATATAAATTTTTTTTGAATAGTATATGTAATCCGGATCTGATGTATAGTATTCGAATCCAAATTCAATGTAGACTATTCGAATCCAAATCCAGATCCAAATTTTTAAGATCCGGTTTGAACCTGGATCCATCCTAAATCCGATGTAAACTATTTAGATGCAGATCTAGTCCGATCCGACCCCATCTCCCCCTCTACTTTTAGGGAGATTTCAAATTTCAACATCCGTACAAAATTATTCCCAAGAAGGACATCAACATGATATAGCGAGTGAGGACCACCATTATTTTCTCATCATTCAAATCCCACATGCCGAAAAACTTTATTTATCGAGTAGTACAATTTAAAAACTTCCCCCATGGGAGCATATTGTGCATTTGGTCTATTGGGTAAAATGCAAGGTAGGAGTATCTTTAGGATCCTGAATTTTAGGTTCTAAACTCTTGAAACTAATTAACAAACTGGAAAAAGTAGAGATAAAAAATATGAAAAAGTGTATAATGATACCACTTATCTTTGGTACAAAGTAGTCACAATTAATCTTGACCATTAGTTGTAAAATTAGGTGGTGCATTTATTTCACTAACCAAGCTCAAAGTTCAAAAGAAATTTTCTCGAACTTTGTGACACACTCAAGCTATTAGATTTCACATCAATTGGTTATAAGTAATTATGACCTCCTTGTACCAAAGATAAATGGTCTCATTGTATACAATTTCAAAAATATCAAAGAGCATATTTTAAGTTCTTGAAAAGAATTATATCCCAAAACTGAACATCGGACTAATTTTGTAAGGTAAAAGTCTAAGCCTTGAAAAACTCAAAATCCAATTTTAATTTTAAAAAACCCATTTTGTAGGGCAAGATCTAAGTCTTGAAAAACTCGAAATCCCATTTTAATTTTAAAAAACCCATGTGGTGATTCTTAGCTGGATTTCAATATTTCATATCCCAAAAAATAGCAATGTAATTCTTTTTGGCAGAAAGAGTTAATGTATAGTATACTCCCGGGAGAGCATGATATATGCACCAATAAAAATATTATGTGGTATAAAAAAAGTTAGAAAATTTTATCAAAATACATTAACTATTCAATATTTTACCTGCTTGCAATTATTTGCATGTACATTAAAAGATATGTGGTAAATGTTCAAGGAGAAAATTTTATATAAGGTGTCAACCTTTTACTATTGAAGTAAGGTATATAACATAGTGTTCCAACAATGAGAAACCCTCCAATTTGATTATCTTGACTTCGCGATGTATGTATGTGGAAAAAAATTTCAAGTTATAAAAAATTATCTAGACTATCCATGTTCAAGGTTTTCAAGCATTTATAGATCTGCTCCATTTCTACCATTTTTGAAGTATCAAATTTCATAACTAGAGTTGAAAATGGATTTTGAAGTCATTATAAGGCTTCTGACATTGGAATTATATCTTCGGGCAAAATTTAGAGGTGCGCCTTTTTTTTAGAGTACAAGTAGGGCACCTTACACAAACCTCGCCTAATGTTAAATTATTAAGCTCTCATGGGTATTATGATGAATTTGACCAAGTTTTTAACTCAGTTGCATAGCATTTAGCATGACAAATTAGTAATGCAAAAAATTCAATACAGACTACTAAATTTGAAAGTACCTAGAGCTTATAGTATTGGGATTTCTAAGTGTTATTATATATGGGTGTGGTTTGTTTGGCTAAGGCCTTAAACAATCGAAATAAGGCGTACCTTCAAATAGTATCAAAAGATATTTTTTCAGTATTGGAAATCTTTGTGATGGCTTGAAAATTTATTTTCATCTCTAATTATAAAATTTAAAGGTTAAAAAATAATGTAGATCAAGCATATCTACGAAAACTTGAAAATCTTGAAAATTGACGGTCCAAATAATGCAATACAAGATGCACTACTTGCAAGACTCGAAATTTATTTTTTCTTATGTCTATACATCTTGAAGTCACGATGACCAATTTAATAATTTTTGGGCATTGAAATAACCTCCTCTAGTGAATTTTTCAGGTGAGCTTTATTTTGATTGTTTAGGGCCTCACCCTTAAATAAATTATTTCCATTATATATCATGCTAATATGAAAGACTAAGGTTAACTTTCAAAAAAGAAATTTTACCATTACACAAGACTCCTTTGGTATGTTCTTTTTCATTTTAAAGAAATAATATCAACGGCATGAAAGCAAACCTCCTAAAAGTAAAATAAAACCCACGAGGGAGATCTCGACCATTTTCACCCCCAAGGTTGCTATGAGCTTGTACTATTAGATGTGAAATGAGGTTGTACTATTAGATGTGAAATCAAAGGAAGCTTCGAGTGCGTCATAAAATTCAAAAAGAACTATTTCCGGCTTGCGTGCACTTCCAACGACCCAAACCCAATAGACCATCTAATGTCTGTCTACGATGACTGTGACCGCTATATAACAAAGTACTTTAATCTTATACTTTTATACATCCATGGGCATCTAATAAAAGGAATTTGTATAAGGTGTAAACCTTATATTATTAATGTCAGGTGCACCTTGAAAATCCTCTAAAAAAGAGCGTTCCGATGTTGGAAAACTCTCTGATTTGATTATATCAGCCTTAAGATGCATAGATATAGATATGAAGAAAAAATATTAAGCCTTAAAATAGTATATTTTGCCACAATTATGTAAACTATTTATTTTGAAGATTTTTTAAGTGTTTTCAGAACTGCTCAACCAATATCATTTTTAAAAATTTTAAATTTCTTAACTAGAGATTACACATTTTTTTAAGTCATCATAAAATTCCCCGAACTACATGGTGAGACAAATTTTAGAGATCCCCCTTATTTTATAATATAAAGATATCACCTTGAACAAACCACGTGGATTGTGTCAATGTCCCCATTCTCTTTTTTCTTTAACATAAAAGATATTGAGCCTCGAGTTTGACCTACATACGTGCTCGAGCGAAGGGCATGTCTTGCACCAATGCAAAGAGTAAGTGTGTCATCAAGTGCCCTTGCACCCACACCCTCGAGTTCCGCATCCTTACTTCTGCAACCTTATACACTGCCTCACCTCATGTCATTTAACATGCCATCTTAACCCTAGATGACATCATAGCCAACATTACCCACTTTTTGCCTTGAAAAAAAGTAAGGGAAAGTTTTCTATCCTTCCCCTACTTTATAGAACATATATGCTCCGCCTTATCCAGCACCTTGTACAAACCACATAGATTGTACAAACCACATAGATTGTGTCGATTTCTGCATCCCTTTTTTTTAACATAAAAGATATTGAGCCTCAAGCCTGACCTGTACAAATGGTCTGGTGAGGAACACGTCATGCACCGATACAAAGCACAAGTGTACCATCAAACACCCTTGCACCCACACCCTCAATTTCCGCATCCTTACATGTACAACCTTATATACTACCTCACCTCATGTCATTTAACATGCCATCTTAACCCTATATGACATCATAGCAAAAAAAAGTAAGGAAACGTTTCTATACTCCTCACTCCCCCCATCTAGCCGTCCAATTTCAATCAAGTGAGCCACCAAGAATACCTGTTTTTTGCCATTCAAAAAAAGTAGGAAAAAGTTCCTATACTTCCTCTACAGTATAAAAATATATACTCCTTCAAATCCAACCGTCCAATTTAAATTAAATGAGTCATCGACTGTTTGATCTAGATTTGCCACCTTGGTATTTTATTTTTAACTTTTCATACAAATTATATAAATATGAAATTTGATAAAACAAATATTAAAAATATATCTTTGATAAAACATAATAACCAAAATACCCCTAAAACTTTCAGGGTCATTTTGATCATTTTATTTTAATGAGAATAATTTTTTATATTTTTTATAGATGTGAATTTACGAGAGAAATGAACGCCCAAATTTTGGTGCCAAACTGTTATATAAAAAAATATTAAAAATAAAATAGCGTCGACTCATGACATTGTCAGCCGCATTCAGAAGGAACAGTTGGAGGATAGGAGGGAACTATATAAGTTTTATACAACATGAGAAGTATAGAAAGCTCGCCTAAAAAACGTAATATTCCCTCCACACACTTTGCCCAGTACCTCATAACCAATCTCTCTCTCTCTCTCTCTCTCTCTCTCTCTCTCAATAGATCACTAGTTATGAAAAGGTACAGATTGTATAAGGTGCCAACCTTATACTATAAAAGTAAGGTACATCTAAAAAATTCCATTTGAAAGGTTGTCCCAATGTCAAAAATCCATTTTGACCTCTAATTATAAAATTTAAAACTCCAAATACATTGCAGATACAATGCAGGCAAGCAAATATCTATGCACTTGAAAATCTTGAAAATATACGATATAGATAATATATACAAGATACACTATTTTTAATAATTGAAATCTATTTTTCTTTCATATCCATGTATCTTGATGTTGAGATGATCAATTGTAGAATTCATTTATATCGGAACAACCTTTTTTAGGTGGATTTTTTATATACATCTTACTTCTACAACATAAGGTTCTCACCTTATATAAACTTTTTCCTTAATGAAACGACGCATTAAATGTTACTCGTTCCTCAAAGAAAATAGCAAGAGAACTTAATTTGTATCGTGTAAACAATCTCGATTAAATCTTTTGCCCTTGAGCAAAAACCATTCCCCTTTACACACTTGGCCCGCAGCCCAATCTCTCTCCCTCTCTCTCTTGAAGACGATTGTCAATCTTTTACACCTCAAACACTCCTAAAGAAAAAAAACAGAAATAGACCTTTCGTCCTTAACCAAAAGGTATAATCCATCGCAGACTTCACCCTCTGTTTCATAATCAATCACCCCAGAATCTCTCTCTCTCTCTCTCCATACCCACCCCCCCCCCCCACGCACACAAACACACAATCAATTGAACCCTACTTCCAAAAGAAAGCATTACATGTAACTCATTGCTCAAAAATTAAGAAAAGATTTACTCAAATAATTAACTCATTGCTTAAAACTTAAGAAAAGAACTTCTAAATGTTCTAGGACACAAATCAAGTCACACGAATCAGGAGAACAACAAAAAAGAAGATGCATGCCATGCCAAACATCAAAAGCCATGTAAAGCAAGATGTCTTGAAGCTCTCAGAATAAACCTGCATCGCTTTTGCATTGGCTTGGCCTGTGCTCGCAAGGCTTTGCTCCACTGCCCTCTCCGTTGAGTCAAGGATCTGCACATATTCATGGTTAGAATCAGTGTTATCGGGACCGGACCGGCCACTGAACCTGTGAGAGGTATGGTTGTACTCAAAACCAATCCCCAACTGCCGGTTGAATAAGTTGAACCACAATTTAAAATTTGAAAGAAAAAAAATGTGAGTAATAGTTTAAAAATATGAAATAAACTAAAATTACTGTGCAACTTTGTTTGGGCCGGTCTAACTAATCAAAACCGTCTTATCGAACTGTCCAACTAATTCAATATTAGTTTTGACTAGTTTTTAACCAAACCAAGTTTTAGTCTGGACCAAAACCTACTGAGGCACCGGCAATAGTCTAGCCGGTCGAACATGCCAGTTTGTTTAAGTTTTGAGAAATACAGTCAGTATTCTTTTCTTCATTTTTGATAAATTCATGGTTGGAATTCATAACAAAATATCAACCAATAAGAACAACCCATAAAAAAATGTAAATAAGTCCATAAACTAAATTTGAAAAGATATACACGGATATACACGTACTTTCATTGAATCATCATTAAAATGTTGCAATAGAGATTGCCAATGTATTGATAGAAAATTTGTAGGAAACAATGTCTAAAACAAAGGTCATGCTAACATTTCGGACAACACGGTGCTATTGCATACATTTTTTCACATTGGCATTCAAAGGGAACTCCACCCAAAAATGATGCAAGCTCTGTGTTGAAAACAATGCACACACACAAACATGCGCATGTACGCGCGCACACAAAAAATAAGCATCCCGAGTGACAGTTCAAATGTGAACCACTATCTGGACCCTTAATATTTAGATCATCATCATCATCATAGTCTTTTCCCAATTAATTGGGGTTGGCTACATGAATCCTGATCCGCTATTCTGCTCTATCAAAAGCCATAACCCTAATATTTAGATATATATCCTAAAATAGCATTTCAACACAAGATAGTAATTTCACTAAGAAACCTCACTTTCACTTCACACTATTGTATCTGTAGTTAGGGCAGAAAGACCACCCCTTGGCCAAGGTTGTCCCAGCTGGGCTACACTAAAAAAGAAATCAGGTTTATGCAATTATCAGGCCAAGATTGTATGCCATAATACAAGTCATGTAAATGAGGTGGGACACGGGTGGTTGGGGGGGCGGATGCCTCAACATAACATCCCGCCCTCCATTCCTACCATTAACATAAAAAGAAAAGAACCTACAAGTAGTCTCTCCACTGTCTTTTCTCAATTATCTCTTAAAGAACATTACAAACAACACTCTAAAATGGACTATCTTTGCAATTTACCCCACCCAAATTTTTTCTCACTTTTTTTCCTAAACAACCTTTCCTCGCAAATAACCCCCCAACCTAAAAGTAGCATGAAATAAGACTAAACTACCCTTGTTTATTTTCACAGCCTTCTCTCCTGTTTTCACACGTGCTCCGGCAGTACAAACACACTCCGGCATTCTGAATGTGCGCTCCGGCAATGCAAGTCTGAGCTGCAGCGCTCCAACAATAAAGTCTTTGGAGCCACAGCGCTCCGGTAATGGAGGAACACGTAATGGCCGTATAAACAAGCGCTCCAGCATTCTGAATGTGCGGTCTAAGCCACAACGCTCCAGCATTATGAGAACGCGCTCTGACAGTGCAAAGACGCGCTCCGACAGTACACTACTTGGGACCCGCGAATTGATTTGGTTTGTATGGGAAGGGCATTTATGTCCAAAAAATAATAACTTTTTTCCTTGGGGGTTTTTGCGAGGAAAAGTTGTTTTGGGGGAAAAAGTGAGAGAAAAGATTGGGGTGGGTAAGTTGTATAGATAGTCCATTTTAGAGTGTTTTTTATAATGTTCTCTTATTCTTATCCCTTAAATTTCAAAATGGATGGTTGTAAGAGTGTTATTGAAATTATTAAAAATAATTTCCCCCAATAACACAAGTCAAATGACCAAGATATTTTTGTTTCTTTAGGGTTTCAACTATTTTATCATGTGTTTGGAACACATAATACATAAGAGTATTTTAATCATTCGACTCAAGTTGAGCTAAACAAGGAATCATCTCTATTTATTTGGGTTTCAAACCCAAACATGTGTTTTTCCAAATGCCATGTAAATAAGTGGTCCATTTTAAAAACTAACTGTCCACATGTTTTCTTAAAAGAATTATTACTTTTAATTTTCAAAATTTATTTATTTATTCATATTCATGATCTCCATGTTAGAGATTATATGTTCTTAAAAATTAAGTCAAAAGACGATGGACACTCCATTTCCACAATCTATCATTGAGAATGGACAATCCAGACCTATATTTAGCATAGAAACAACATAGTACATCTCCTATGATAGAATCTACCTATCAAAAGTAAAGAAAATCACTTTATTGACTCCAAAGAAACCAGCCATGAGCATGAAAATGAATAAAGTCTATCTGATTCAGTTTGCTTTCTTGCAGAGCAATAATCTAACCATTAGATCTCAATTTCAAGTCCCGCCTTATTATACCTGAGAAGGAAATAAGAAGAGAAGAGGAGTTTCAATGGCAACAAAGAATTGTCTAACCTTCTCTGTATCATGAAGTGACTGACTCATCATAAGGCTGCTCTCCTTGAGCTGCCGGGCTAAGCCAACCATTTCATCTGTCAAATCTTCTTGAAGTTTTCTGCCAAAAAACATCCAGCAAAATCACATAAATTTTGCAGCTTTCTTTGGCAAAAAGATGAGAGCATAGCAATTTCGCTCTAGAAACTGAAAGGAATTTCATTGGTTCATTGAATACAAATGGGTTTTTCTTCAAAGTGGTGTCATCAACTGAGAAAGGAGAGGCCATCAGGAAAAGCGCAGGGGAATTCTTTTAAGTTCAAAGCTATGACAGCCTACACATAAATACAACTGACTTATTGGCACAAAAAACTGAAATCTAGTTTTGCATCATAAATGCCATAAGTTGGATGACATGTAGATCTGCAATGGATAACACAGGTGATTCCTTTTTTTTCAAGGAGCTATTTCTGATAAATATTGCAATTTTAACTCTAAAGAAAGGATAAATTGTGCAGTTTGGACCATTGCCAAAATGATTAGATATATCAAAGGGAATATTTGACTAATAAAGTCAAGAAATAGGATGCCAATTCCCAAGCACCTGTGCTTTTCGACGTGTTCTTGTGCAGATGCATCCAATTTAACTGGCTCACGCTCGCTAATTTCTTGAGTCCTGCCTTCCCCTTCCTTGTGAGACCTGCAAGTTTCTAACAGTCAATTCCACACTCATGTGTATGGAGCAAGAACAATACATGAAGGGAATGACTGGTTGTCATTTATTTCAAGTAACACATGATTTAATTATGGCAAAGAACACTGCTGTCCAATAGACATGAAAAACCATAAGTCCGAAGAGGTCGTGCCCATCCTGTGAAATGGGGGGAAGAGAGGAAAAAGAGCAGGAACCATGATGTCCTGTTATTGTGGTTCCCTGTCCCAATCTCTCTCCACTGTCAATCAATTTGTTCAACAATCACAACCCATATGGTTGAGGTTTTTCACTGATCCATTATGTGTTCCCTTTGATTATTGTTTTCATAAGGGGAAACCACTATTACAGTTTTACTTACACAAGTCGCCTACGTAGTCCAGGAGAAACAGATGCATGCATTTTGACTTCCTCTGCTTTAAAAGGCCTTCCTTCAACGGGAGTTTCATGGACCGCATTCAGTGTGTCAGGCTGGCAAGTTTTTTTATTTTAGCAAATAGAAAAGAAAGAAAATTATTCAGATATTTGATGCAATTCCCATGGAAAAAAATTATTCAGACATTATGAAACTATCATTTAATGTTTTTACATAGGCAGAAAATCCCTTAGATGCAAGGTAACAGAACTCCATTATTGATATTTTTTATGTTAGATCCAAAATTATCCAGCAATGAGAATTATGCACGGATTAAGCAAGGTTACAAAGGTATATGTGTGTGTGTGTGTGTATATACTCTTTTGCCATATGAAAGTGGAGAATGATTGGACCACATTTCAATATTCAATCCATGTTTGTTATTGAAATAGACAGTGCAGATTGGATGTTTCCTGAAACATGAATAAGGAACCTAATTAATTGACATACAAGCAAAAGCAATCAGTTTTGCCGCCTCTCATTCTAGCCACTCACTATACACCATACTGAGTTGAATACTGGATGGAGATTGTCATCTCAATCTTCATGCTTTGGTCCAAATTAGACTAAAAAAGAAAAGCAAAAGAAAAAGGGAAATTTTTGGTAAAAGAAACTAAAACAAGCAACAGAAATGTGAAAGGCATTGTTCAAGATTACACTTATCATAACAACAATATCACATGATTATACATTGTGTCAAAAAATTGAAATTTCACTCAAATAATTGTGCCCAAATTGATGCCACAATAGAAGTAAGACTGCTAGAGGAAATATAAAAGTACACGTACCAGAGGATCAGAAGCTAACTTAGTGGCAATGGCTTCAATCTTCTCGGAATAATCATTAATCTTAGCTTTTGAAATACTGCATAAACTCAAATAATAGCTTTCCCATGATTACAAAGGATCAGAAACTGATAAATAAGATGTAGCAATTGCAACTGAAGACTACGAGAAGTAACAGAAGCAAATCATACTGGGGCTCCAAGAATGTCATCCAGACCAAATAAATTGAGTATTGATAAATCAACATAATACATGAAAAGGATAGTTCTTCAATCTACTTGTGTGCATCTCATTTGGGTATCAAGATTCTGTGACTGAAGGAGCTTCCCCGGATCCACCTAAAACACACTCACCCAAAGGAAGTTCCAAAACACTAATCCAAACTAGAAGATAGCAGAAGATATGATTTCGTATCATAGGAATAGCAGTACAAGCTTGTGATACAGAGTAACTCACAAATTGTCCGGAGACAAGAATAAGTCAGTTTGTTAATGGTATAACTCAAATACACAACAAGAAGCATATAACATGATAAGGATGCCAACAAACCTCGGAAAGCCTTCCAATGTACTCTCTCCCATCAATTGTTCCAGCTGCTCACGTAAAGTTGCAACATACTGCATAAATGGAAAAAACGATAACATCAAGATCTCAATGGGAGTCAATTAGTAACAGCTGATAGTATCAAGTAAACATTTCATCATGTAAAATGTAATAAACACACATATAGCCACTTAAACCATTCAAAATATCTAAAAATATCTAAAGATTTCATCAAAGCAACTGCCATACCATAATTATAACTAGCTTGACCTCCTTGAAGATAGGCACACTCCGACACTGCCAAAGAAGTGTAATGAAGGTTTGAAAAAATAAAAGTGCCAATTGATTTTGTACAAACTACAAATTTCGAGTCAATTTGCCCTCTTGATTGAAGATTGTTACACTGTGAAATTGCGGAAGAAGTGTCAGTTTGTAGGTAGATTAAAGTCCTCAGAAGTACCTTCTTTCTGGAAAAAGCTAAGAACCCAACAACAAATTATCAAAAAAAAAAAAGCGCTAAGCTGAGAACAACAAAGGAAAATGACCTGCCTCTCTCCGATAAGGTCTTCAACTCTTAACATCGCAACGAAGCTCTTCCCCCAGACTGCCCAATAGAACTCCTATGTAACTAAGACCCTCTATCCTTAGCCATGAAATTCCTACTGACTAAAGCCCTATACCCTTACCCACCCTAACGTTTACCTAAAACACTATGAAATTTAGCTCTACTTGGTACACTTACCACCATCAACCTCCTTGGTCCAAAACCTTTGACAATTATATAGTTCCTTTCTTTACACATGTCCCCAAATACGGGTAAATGAACTACATCTTCGAATAATACAGCAAGTTTCTAAAAGGGTACTGATCCGACTAAGTAATTCAACAAAGTCCCTGATGGCAAGCAGGAAAACCCAAAGAGAAGTCAGAAGTGCTCCCACATCCTCTGCAGAAATCTCGAAAACTAAGGAGGTCTGCCATTCCATTCCTCCAATACACAAGTCCATAAATCAAACAGAAAATCGAAAGCTGGAGGCCCCAGGTCAGATTATGGTTCCCCATAAGGATTTAGTCTCTGATAACCATTCAAACAAAACCTACCACCTCAGGGACTGGAAACCCACAAGAAAATTACCCAAAATAAAGGTTACCCACACTGCCGACATCCCTTAACCATTATAGCCCCATTCATAGGGCAATGCACCACTTGTCCCCACCACGTCCGCTTCCACCCCCAGTAGTAGCTTTAGCAACTCAAGTCGCTTAATCTGGAACAAAATTGAATATCAACATACACCTAAAACCAAATGATGCTCTACTTACTCAAGCAATAAAGGCCAATCACCTTTTCTAATGTGAAAGAGAATGGTTTAACAAGTAGAGAAGTAACAAAAGGTGAACATAAGAAGAATAACATTGTTCTGCTCCTGTATTTTAAATTCAAAACAATTTGGCTTTTAGTGTTTTTTTTTTAAATGTTCACGTATGTATTAATAAAATAAAGAGATTACAGTGTAGATCATGTGTGTATTAACACATCTACAATGTTGGGCATGCCTTCTTGGCAGGTGCCGTATACAGAAAACCCAAAAAGGGTTAATAAAAAAACCCCAAAAAAGTTCTACACTGACACAATTTAGAAGGGAGGAAAAAATCATTTAAGCAGCCAGAGAGTTAAAGGCTTGCGCCATCCCTAGATAACGTGTCAGCAGCAGCATTTGCTTCCCTGAAAATGTGTTTCCACGGCCAGGGAGCAAGGCCAGAAGCCCAGGTAGTGACATTTCTCGAGTCTCCTTCAACAACGAAATCCAAATTCCAGTTTGGGTCAAGTCTCTGGAGACCTTCAAGCAAAGGCCGAGCCTCCGAGTGTGTGGAATCAGAAGAGCCAATTGGTGAAGAATAAAAAAGGAGAGTAGAACCTTCAGAGTTTCTGTAAATGCCTCCAATACCGGAAGGGCCGGTGTTGCCGAGAGAGCTACCATCAAAATTAAGGTGGCCAACTTCAAGAGGCCTCCAGAGAGAAGAGCGAGATATCCTTTGGGCCCTAAGGTTCAAAAGATTATGAGTTCAGAAGAGGAGTAGGTTCGGAAGATGCTGTGGTCCTTGGTCCAAAAGGACACAAGGGTGCAAAACTTGTCGACCAAAGAAGGAATGGAGACCTTTTCCCCCCTGAAAATGCAACTATTTCTTTCGAGCCATATGGTCCATAGGATTGCTGAAATCAAAACTCTCCACAGGAAAGAGCTGGAGTTTGTCCAAGGAGTGTGGAGGCAGAAAGCAAAGAGATGAGGAATGGACATGGGGTAACCCATGTCCAATTGAAAAGATGGAGGACATAGGACCAGAGAGCATTGGTCTCTTCAGCCCTCAAGCACAACACACATCTATTGGGTAGGGGAATTCCCCTCTTGTGGAGAGGATATAGAGGGAGAGCTCATCGTGTAGAGTGACCCAATTAAAAAATTGGATCTTGGGTGGAATAGATGGGAACCACACCTTGGCAGCAATGGAGGGAGGGAGAGGCGGCAGGAAGGTAAAGAGAGGAGTGTATAACTTGGTAAAAAGAGGCCGCAGAAAAAAATCCCAGTAGCATTTGCGGTCCATATGATTTTGTCCTCCTGAAACAGTGGAATGAAGTTTTTTGCAAGGGTTGAAGACAAGGCTGTGAAGGTGCTAATCTCATCCTCAGAGAGAAATCTTCTGAAATTTGGGTTCCAAGTTCATGAGGACCCAGCAGTGGTAAAACCATTGGCAACATGGCCAGGGGTTCGACTGCAATTCTGTAAAGGGACTGAAACTGGCCCTTCAAACGGTATTCGCCTACCCAAGTGTCAAGCCCTAAAAGGACTCGATTACCATTTCTTGGATGGAAACGCAGCTTCTCTGATAATAGGTTGCGGCAACGCAGAATAGATCTCCAGAAGCCTGATAACTGGCCACTGGTACTACAGGATGGTAACCAGGCATGGTCACCTCGGCAGTATTTATGGAAGACAACTTCTCTCCAAAGATGAGTTGGCTGGGTGGCAAAGCGCCACCACCATTTGCCAAGCAAAGCGACGTTTGTGGATTTAAGATTTCTGATGCCAAGTCCCCCTTGAGCCTTGGCGGTGCACACCTTTGCCCAAGAGATTAGGTGAAATTTATGGCCTCCCTCGCCCAACCATAAAATGTTTCTCATGAGCCCCTTCAACCTGGCTTGGACTGAAGCAGGCATACGAAAGAGGGACATAAGAAAGAGGGGAATACTGGCTAGGGTAGCCTTGATGAGAGTCAATCTGCCAGCGAGGGAGAGAAATCTCCCTTTCCACCCAGAGAGCCTCCTATCAAACTTGTCGATGACAAAGCTCCACTGATTTAGCCTTGGAAGACCAAGGCATAGAGGAAAGCCCAGGTAAATGAATGGGATGTCATCGACTGCACAACCCCACCGGTTGGCGGAACTTTAAACCAGGGAACTGTCACGACAAACACCCATCATTTTAGTTTTAGCCATATTTGTTTTGAAGCCGGTGGCAAACTCAAAACACCGAAGAACAAGGAGCAAATATTCCGCTTGCTTATGGGTGGCATTGTAAAACATGAGTTTATCGTTTACGTATTGGAGGTGGGAGATGATTGGGCCACATCTTCCAATGTGAAAGAGGTAGGAGATGATTGGGCCACATCTTCCAATGTGAAAGCCCAATAGGAAGACCGCGTGATACACTCTCGAAATACTAACACTGAAGAACTCAGCTATAATGGCAAAAAAAAAGGAAGAAATGGGGTCGCCTTGTCTAAGGCTTTGAAGACCCAGAAGTAGCCATCAGGTGATCCTTTTATGAGCACCGAGAAAGAGGGGTTAGCTATACATCCTTGGATCCATCTCCTCCAAATGACACCAACGCCCATTCTACGAAAGGTTTCATCGGGGATTTGCCAATCAACGTGATCATATGCTTTTTCCCATTCGACTTTGATCACAAGGCCAGGGCTTTTGGATAGGTGGCGAGAATGGATACATTCATGGGTTATAACAGCACTATCCAAGATCTGCCGATCCTTGACAAAAGCCCCCTGGGTCGAGGATACAACCCAGCCAAGAACATGCCTGAGATGCGTAGAGAGGACTTTAGACAATATCTCATAGGAGCTACTGATCAAACTTATCGGTCTAAAATCTTTTAGTTCTTCTGCACCTTCAATCTTAGGGATCAAAGCAATGAATGTTGCGTTCATCCCTTGGTGGATGATTCCTTGAGAGTAGGATTCCTCAAAAAAGGCCAAAATAGCAGGCCGCAAAGTTGGACAGAAGGATTTGAAGAGGGCAATGGGGAAACCATCCGAGCCAGGGGACTGGTCTGAGCTAAGGTCATTCAATCCTCAAGGAAGGGTCTCTCTAGCTCGGCAGCAGCTTCAAGGGGTAAGATGGGAGAAGCATAAGTCCTCGATGTGGGTTTCAGTGTTGTATGAAGAAAATGAAGAACATACTTATCAGAGACTAAAAAAACCTGAAGTGCAATGTTATTTGTAATATTTGATATGTCACTCTGATATAGAGAAGGGAAAGGAACTTCATAAAACAAATCGAAGAGAGTCAACACATAGAAGAGGAAAAAATGAATTTCCATGATGATTAACCTGTCAAAAGACTCAAAAAAACTATTGGCCCTATAAATGTGTTAGAGAATCAAGTAGATACATGACTTCATCAACAACAAACAGATTGGTTAGCTCATAATCTGGTGCCTACTCTTTTTTTATTTTTTTTTCTTGAAGGTTACTCGGGTTCCTACTACAAGCCTAAATATAGTACACTCCGACAAATGCCATGTATGCCATGTAGCACGAAAAGCCAAAGACAAGGGGCCTTTGCCTAGCGCACAAGAGAAGGAATCTCAGGTCAAATCTAAGTACCAAGAGTATAAATTTATGGAAAAAAATCTAGCAGTTGTGGACTCCAAGATACATATAATATCATTGCACACGAACATGGCAATCTGCTCATTCCCATGTTATCTCCACAAGGGCTCTGGCTCCCAAGTTTGAGTTCATGTTATGGATGGCGTATATTCAATCATGCTCATGTGATTTGTAGTAAAGGGCTGACGTTCAGAAGTTGCCCAAGCAACAAAAAAAAAAGACCAAAGGACACCTACTGCCTAAGCGAGGCACTATGTTCCAAAAAACGAGGAATCAATATGCCCAAATAATAAATAGAACGTAAAGAACACAGTTTCGATGATCTAACAAGGTAAAACCTTCAAAAAACAAGCTAAGGGAGCCATAGGGACAGGATAGAGCATATCAGAAATGGAGTTAACTAGAAATAGCTATCTTGATTGCATATTCAACACACCCAAGTTTTCAAGGTTAAATCTATCTTTTGCAAGTAACAAATAATGAATAATTGATTCACTTAAATTGTAGCCCATAACTGCAATTGAAAGTCTAGAGAATATTGTGTTTCTTTTCCCAAAGTCATTATTCATGAAACAAAACTCATATCAGATGAACAAGCAGTTCCGTGGTTCATTACTATGGGATTGACTCTTCTGCTGAATAAGAATTCACAAAGGCATATAGCATAGTTCCATTTAGAAAAATATCTTTGAATCATGTTTCAATGATCATAAAATGGTTATTCCAATAAACAATTTGAAGTCTTTATTCTCTATTCAAATCTACATCTCTCTCTATGTGTCTGTGTGCGCACGTGTGCGTGCGTGTGTGTGTGTGTGTGGATTTAAAAGTGCTCAAAAATTAATGGCAGAGTACACTAAAGGAATGAATGTCGAGCTTACATGCATGAGCTTTGCCTGATTTTGCTGCTGAGGAACAGCAGCCAGCAATCTTCTTAAGTTCACTTCGGTCTTGCTAAGCCCCATAATGAAAACCTACAATATAAAACAAATGAGAACATCATATACTAAGTAAACAAGCACCTCATATATCAAAATAGCATGGCTTATTTTGTATAATGCGATAAAGATGGTTGAACATGAATGCATTTGCACCCCAAAAAAAAAAAAGAATATATAATTCGTATCCAAGTCAGCATGCATATATTAGCAGGAAAAATAATGTGCCAATCACATGCATAAATTGAAGAATAAGGAAATCAACAAGCATATATTTGCCCCTTCAAAAAAAAAAGAAACCATGAAATCAAAACATGTTTTTCAACTTTTTCTTTTCAATCTTCAGAACTGTGGTTTCAAGGAACTCAGGTGGTCCTCATGATTTTGATTTATAGTACAGTAGAGAAACTGGATAAAAATCATTTTGAAAAAGCTATTTAATATATCTACATCTGAAACAATTATTAATAAGACTCCCTTGGATTTCTATGAAAATTTGGATGCCTATTTAATTAGCTTTCGTGTCTTAGAACTGTGATTTCACAGAAACTAAGCAATCCACATGCCTTTACCTAATAATAGAGAAGAGCTACTGGAGAAAGGTCATGGTGATTAGTTCAGAAGAACCATAAGTGGAATTGGTAAAGAAAGGAGAAAAAGCAATTCAGAAAAAACTCAAAATAAATGCAGAAAAAGAGTTTCAGGATCAAAACACATTTGTTGCCAATTGAAAAATTGTCTATTTACCTATTCCTCTCATCCATTAAAAACAATGTTGTTTAGACTGAACCAGCAAGCATTGATCCAGTTGGACCAGTAGAACCAGGCCATTTCAATGTGGCCGGACCAATCTACTAAATCTAAAAATTAATGAAAACATGAAAAAGATAAAAAATTGGAAAAAATATGCGAATTAATGGAAAAATAGAAAAGCGAAGAATATCCCACACAGACTACTCGATGACGCTTTCTTTCTCGTATCACAGGAGGCTGACAGAGAGATGTTTGACTGAGATGGATGTTGCACTTGAAGCTTCTAGTTCCATGTGTCAGTCAAGATGTCAGCCAAGCGAGAGGGCTAGATCAAGGTGGCAAAGCGGAAGGAAGAGGGGCAAGCGCTAGGCGTTCCGATCGATGCTTCTTTCAATATCCCGGGTAGCAATGAAGGAGGGGCAGCACATAGCAGACAAGGCAGCGGAGATAGCGGATGAGATCTAAAAAATAAAAAAGTTATAAACTATTATAAACAAAAGGGAAATTTATTAAAATCCCCATAAGAGATTAACCATTTAACACTCTACCTTTGCAACTATTCCAACACAAGATCGTGTGTTTTCTAACAGATACCTTGGCATCAAATAAAAATAATATGGCTAAGGTTTTAAATTATGCTTGCATGAACATACACATTAACACTATGCGAAGCATTACCATATGGGGACTCAGAAATGCTGAAATTTTGTTTTTTTCAGTTTTACTTTTCACATGAAATCTGAAATGTGAATAAATCAAATGATGGTTGGAATTATATGGAATTTCAGATTATTTTATATTTTTTTCAACAATAAATGAAACAATAGATACTGGTTGAGTTACTTGAGTATACAATATCTACTTACTTGGGCTTCAAAAAAAAGGGCGCATTGGTGACTAGATTAAAAAAAAAAACGCAGATATCTGTATTCCAGTTACATGGGTACATAGAAATAAGAAAAGTTTTCAAAACTACTGTAAATTTGATTTTCCGAGTTTTCAAGCGAAAATTTGCATGAAAACAATTAAACCAATGAATCGAGAGCTTCGAGACCATCACATGATTTCTTGCAAAAAACCCACAACAAATTCTTATGTTTCTCTATTCCAATAATTAATCAAACACTAACAAGATGGTTGAATATAGTTACTTGGGCTTCAAAAAAGGGAGGATCGATGGCAGGATTACCCTTAAAATCATCTGAAAGAAAAGTCCATGCGGATTTCAGATAGAGAGCAAAAATTGCCAAGAGAAATTTTCAAAACCAGAACACTGCCCCATTCTCTCTTTAAGCTGTAAATGATCAATAAGCCCTAATATTTGAAACAAAGAAAAAAGGGTTGTTGTTTCCAAAGAAAAAGTATTGCCGCGTCTACTATTGTCTTGAGGGAACATATAGGTGGCGTTTGATAACTTTCACTGCAGTTTCTCTAGGAAAATCGTACTGCTGACTTTCCTAGATTCTGGGAGGCAAGTGAAAATTTGTAGCCTTAAAGCTAGGAACCATGTTTGATAAATTATGACGTTGGTATTTTCACCTGTTTGGCATTGGGAAAGCTGGAAATTGCCTATCTTAACCGTTCATTATGTGTTTCATTAATCTGATGTGCAAAATGAATCTGATGTGCAAAATGCATATTTTAGATGAGATTTTCTTGCTACAACCCATCCAATGCATTTTTACTAAATAAGGTCCCTTCCATCCATCCAATATGACACCAAAATATGCAAATAGAAACAAGGAATACTTTATTGTGCTTGGATGCTTGATAAAGGTGTCAATCCTCTTTGACGCTACCAATATTTACATCATTAGGAAACAAAATTGGTTTACTTACTATCAAATTTCAACATGAATGTGGTTATTCTTAATTAGAACTTCAAATACATAGCATAAGCAATAAGGGTTTCTGAATGTAATGGATGGGCACACAAGCTATTACAACAATTGAAGAGAAGCATTAATATCAAATGTTTAATAGAATAAGAATCCATGAAACCGAAAATGAATGAAGAATGTATTTCTGCTGCAACACAGATTAATGGGTTCAAATGCCAAACCACTTAACATAGTTTGGTATTGACCATTGCTGGATGGTCGTTCATTATATCTAATCTTTTGGACATCAATTGCTGAAGGATACAACAGGGATCACAATGTTCTGATTGTGATGAGCCCCAATTAGCTGGCAATTGCGATGAACACATACTGACTAAACTATACATCCAACATTGGTTTGATTATTATCTGATTATGAGATAGAGTGGACAGGGCCCAAGTGCCGATTTCCTCAATCCACAGAACAAGGTATAAAAGTTATTACTTCTCTTTAACTCACTACTCAGGTGCTTTGATCATGTTTCTGAGATCTAATTTGTTTAGATTACACCAAAAATACAGTTTCTTATGTTCAAAGTTGTTTTAGGACCTAAAGCAGCATAGAACCAAAGCCTAAATATCACAAATACAACAAAACATACTTGAGGTTACTTTCCTGTTTTCCAAGCTACAGGGATTCAGAGTTATGGATAGTCAAAAGAACACTTAATGAAAAAATGGCATTTCCAGTGTTTCAGTGTATTCTAGATATATTACAACCGAATCGCCTCTTACAAATACTTGAAACAGCAACATTCGCATGAAATGTGAAATATTCTACACAAAATTGCAAAATTTCACAAAGAAAATCAATTATCAGATTTGGAGTGTGAAGCTGCAACGTACCTGACCAACACCTCCCCAATCTTTGGCGGCGCAACACTCTTGATGGTCTTATTTCCTTTACCTAGAAACATCACAAAATTTTCCCAATATCACTGTGAGGTAGGATTTATATCCCATTCCATGCCAGATTTGTGCATAAGAATGAAAGATGCATTCCAATTGACACCATGGATCACAAACTATGAAAACATCGATGCATCTATCTTTTCATATCAATAACATCTACCCCTTTAAACACACTCAATAAGCAGACGATATAGGCAATAAATTTGCTGAAATAAAGACTCAATATTTTTTTACTGAGAATGGCAAGAGTGAAGCAGAATCACATTAATAATTAACAATTTCTAAAAAAAGCCAAAAAAAAAAAACACAGGGTTTCTCTAGATTTGGGTTTATCAAATTACTTTACCACAACGTCAATAAAAATCTGTACTCACAGATGTTCGATTGATTGTAGCTGCAGAGGCTATATTCCAAGAGACAAGGCAGTTGATCGAGCGGCACTCCTTCATTAACACTGATCTTAGGCATAGAAATGTCCCTTGTTCGCGTATAATAGGCTCTTGCGAAGGCATATTGTACACTTACTCTCTTTGAGGGATAACCTATAGGGTAGTAATGGGTCGGGTCTGAACCCGGACCTAGACCCCATACCCGAATGTATTTGGGTCCAAGTTTTGGACCTGGATCCGACCCGAAAGTTGGACCCATACCCGCACCCATCAGGTCTTGGGTCCATCCCGTCGGGTCCATTGCCACCCTCACTTTTGAGTTTTTTTTTTTTCTTTTCTTTTTTTTCTTTTTTTTTTGCCTTTCTTTACCGTTATATATTCAAATTATTGGCAAAAAATTCAAATTATTAACAAAAAATTACAATCACCCGCCGTTAGATTGCAAGCCATCTTATTTGTCGTTTAATAACCAAAGATGATTATGAGTTTTTATTATATACGATTTTTAATACACCCAAACGAAGAGAGGTTGAAGTATTTTATCTCCAACAGCCTACGGGTACAGATCGGGTCCAACCGGACCTGGACCCGACCCGCGCGGATCTAAATGTTGGACCCATACCCGGACCTGGTCAAGTATACCCAGCGGGTCCCAAGTCGGTTCGAGTCCATTGCCACACCCAATGACCTATTTGAATTTATTTTATTTTTTTCATAAATTTTAGAAACCACCTAATAATTACTAGATGAGACATTATCTATTTTAAGCCCACAGATAGTGAATTAGGAAAAATTTCTTATTAAAGTAAGTCTATGAATTGAAGAGGTTACACATGCAAATTTTGGAGTCTTACAAATACTCCTAGATTTAATTTTTCCAGAGAACTAAGTACAAATATACTCCTGTGAGAGAATAAATGCTTTCGGCATGTCACAATCCCCAATTACTTTGAGATGTGAAATGTGGAGAATGAGAAAATACCATTAATTGCATTTAAAACTTGATAAATTTTCTTTCAAATTTTGTGCAAATAAATGGAACAACTTAATCGTCCGATTTTACATTTGATGGTTTGGGGCAATGGTTTAAAAAACGAATCGGTGACTCGGATTGGGCACCTCAAAAAACCGATCCGGATCGGTGAATCGGCCATCCGGATCGAGAATCTGCTAAATCGGTCGGACTAAAGCTTCAAAAAAATCCGAAAAAATTATTAAAATTCATTATAAATATTTTTTTTAGGAATCCAATAAAAAATGAGGGTACTACATTATTAACTTTCATTTTTTTTATTAATTTGTGAATATTGAGATGTTCTTTCCCTGTATAAATTTACTTTAACTATTAAATTTGCATCACATAAAAGAAAAATCAGAGAATTATTATGGATAAAATATATAATTATATATGGACTATTATAAAGAGTAGACTAATCAATGAAAGAATGGCCATTAAAATCTCGTTTTGACGAAAAACCCTAACCCGCTAAAAAAACCCAAACTATTACAGCCTAACTAACTATAATTCAAAATTATTACAACATCACTAATTATAATATTATATACTAAAATTATAATTACCAGTTTATATTTTATAATTATTTTATTAGACAAATAATAACAAATTAAAAAATGTTTATAATATTATCTAATTTAAAATGTATTATTGACAACTGTAAGAAAAATAGTACATTACATGATTTATAATGTAAAAATTTATAAATAAAATAAAATATTTGGTTATCAATGTAAAAATTAATAAAATGCGTACAAATTTTGGAAATAACACTTCAATTTTTCAAAAATTTATTTTTTTAGGTTTCTATAATAAATTTAGTAAAAGAGATTGTTAGTAGAAAGATGGAGATTTCAAATAGAATAAACTTTTTATTTTTATTTTTTTTATACCTTTCATATTATTTACAAAAATAATTATACCACTATATACAATAAAAATTAACGGTTATATAAAAAATTAAATTTTTTATTTTTCATTTTTTTTTGTCTTTTATATTATTTACAAAAATATTTATATTTAAACCTACCACTATATACACAACAAAAATATTTATATTTATACCAACCACTATATACACAACAAAAATGCAACACATGCCCAAGGGGATTCGAAAACAACAAAAATATTTATACCAACCACTATATACACAACAAAAATGCAACACATGCCCATGGGGATTCAAATGCAAAGGGGGTGCCCAAGGGGATTCGACCTTGGGACCTCAAATAAAAAATTCAAAATCATAACCATCAAGCCATCTAACTACATAATGATTATAAAATTGCTGATTAA